TGTGTGTGTCTGTGTGTGTCTGTGTGTGTCTGTGTCTGTGCATAAGCAGACCATGTGTTTTTGGTCCCACACATGCCCACCCACAAGAAGAGAACTTTGGCTCACCATAGGTCACACCCAGAGACTGAGCCATACCTGATTTCGAGGACACAATCCAGGACCTAAGAGCTGGTGATACAGATGTGAGATTTTGAACTTTGAGTTGATACTAAAACAGGGTGAGAAGCTGAGGGTTTGAAGGGTTAGGGTGGGTATATTTTGCACGTGGGATGCTCAGGAAACTCAAGGCCCGAGGGTGGATCACTATCAGATGAACCTTGGCCTTCAGATATCAAATCCTCATCCTGGAATTTGAGTGTGATCTGAGAGGGTCCTAAGGGTCACCCAGTGCATCCTGGGCAAGCATATTCCTTTGCTGTTGTAACAGCCACAGACACTGACTGGGAAAGGTCACTGCGTTCACATCCTCTGCCATCCACAGAGAATGAGTGACAGAAGGACAGGACCTTTATCTGAGCTCAGAAGACAGGCAAAGCAGGGGATCTCCAGGCACCCAACCTCCCATGCCTTAGTTTCCCACTCATGAACATACATGGGAAACAAGTCGCACCACACCAAAGACGGAGGCAGCTGCCCACAGTCGCCATCCCCCGAAGGCCCTTTGCTTCCACCTGACCCAGGAGCCACCTCCCCGGGAGGCTTCCCAAATGCTTCCATTGTACACCGTCCCAGGGGCCAGTGTCCTCAACCTTCCTGACTGCAAATTAAGCATGTTTCCTCGCTATGCCAATCCTCAGTGTTCTTAGAAACTCCTGCCCAGTACATCAGTCTCTCCCAGCCACTCTGGGGCAGCAGCGTCTCCCAAGGCTGCCAGTCACTGGGTCTCTGTCTACAGTCTTGGAGGGCACTCACCATGCTCTCACAGAGATGTCATCTGCTTCCCCTATGGTCCCTTCTGTCCCTCTCCAGGCAGGTCTAGGATCCCCAGGGCACATGATCCTTGCTCCTCATCACCCGTCCCATGATCTGGCGGGATGACCCCAAGGTCCTACCTGCCCATCCCAGTCCCTGGGTCCCTCCCAGCATGCCCAGAGTGCTGCCCAGGGAGACCTTGCACCCTGCACTGCTCCTCTGGCCCTCCAGGGTGGCCACTCACCTTAGGGTGTACCAGCCCCTCCCGGTTGTGGATGGTGCCCCACGTGGCCACGCCAATGGTGATGACCTCTCCATCCTTGTAGCTGCTGCTCAGGCTGAAGTCACGCACTGCCTCCCCCACCTGCTTCATCACGCCAGCGTGGGAGCCCCCGGTGATGATCCAGGCCCCTGTAGGAAGACGCAGGCATGGGCACCCACCACAAGGAAACTGGCCCCAGAGCCCCAGAGCTGAGCAGTGCTGCCCACAATGCGCAGAGACCTCAAACAGAGTTCCAGGTTTGTGCTACAGCTCTAGAATTACAAATATGGGACCAGAGGGGGACAGGGACTGGAACCCCGTCTTCCCCTCAGACTGCCCTCCATCCTCCTGGGTCCCCTCTATCCCAATCTCAGGCTTCTGATTTCTCCATCTCAGGATGTGGTACTGGGTGAGACCCTCTTCCACCCACGTCTGTCCTACCTAGGTCACTGCATGTACCAGGGTGAGGGACACTGGGGCTGGGCACTATTAGGGCATGAAGGTGTGCCTTGAGTAACACATAAGCCTGCTGCCCAGCCTGAGTCTCTAAATGAGGTGGCATAGGGGTGGGGCTCCAGTCCTGCCATGTGAGTGACAAGTCTGTTCACTGATGCTGGGGCAGTTTGTTCCCAGGAAAGTATGGACTAGAACCTCAAAAATTGGTGCTTGAAAGCCTTGAACTGAGTGTAGTGTTGCATGCCTATAACCCTAGCACTCAGAAGGCTGAGGCAGGAGGATTCCAAGTTTGAGTTCAGAGTAGGCATCTTAGTGACTTAGCAAGATCCCGTCTCAAAATTAAGAATTAAAAA